GTAAAACAAGAGAAAATTAAATACTGTTTCTCGAAATTCATGCAGAAACATAACTATATGAATAAATAAGTATTATGTCGAATAGAAAATCTAACCCAAAGTCCATGCAACATAATATGGCACACGTTGAAAAGCCATTACAACATACAATACAAATAACCAATGGACCCAATTCACGTTCATATATTTATCGATGATAATATCAGGAGTAAAACAATCACCAAAAAAAACATATAACAACATGAACACTGTCGCTTGTAATAATTTAGTTAATACTGCACGCCAGGGCTTTTCAATCTGCAAATTAATTATGAAGTTACAAATTAACTTGCAATATTATTTTTCGAAATTCTTGAATGTACGGCAATATCATTTAGCTATGATTTTTATCATAGCTAAATCAGAAAATCAATGAAAGATCACTATATTGTATGCCACTACGACACAGCTTTTGTTAATGAAGTAGTATTTCCAAGTATTAGTTCCTTCTCTTATTTGATAGCAGTGTTTTCACCCAAGCTAAACACTAAGTGTTGTTGTTTGTACAGAAGTCTTCTGATATTAAAATAATTACTAATTATGAATGATTATACTGCATCCTGTATTCCTACCCTTTGCTTCATTTTTAGATAAAATAATTACAGTCAAATAGTACTAACCTTTCCATCCTTACCAACAGCAGCTATTCCATCAATCCACGCCATATAATCCGTGTAAAAACAAGCTGGTCCTGTTAAAACCGCTTGAAAATGAAACATATAACTCAGAAAGCTCAAAATATCAGGTACTGATCTAAAATTAACTTTAACAATGCTAAAAAATGCAGATTCAATACTTTGCAGTGGCGTTGTTAACAGACTAACCCCAACAGCAAACTAATTCTCGAAACAATACCATTATTAGCAAACTAATCCGAGCAAATTTGCAAATATCACGTTTGAAAATCTAAAAGCATCAAAAAATTAAAAAAATGGACCACTATAAAACTACAAAATCCGAAAGAATCACTTACTTCAGGGCTTCTCTTTTCTGTATTTCATTTAACTCATCACTTTTTTTTACCTTACCATCATGTAATGAAAATGCAAGTACCGTCACTTTTTGAACCAGTATCTGAAAATACACAACTTTCTTAAAAGAACTTGTACAAAAATTCCACAGAGTGGCGCAAAACTCTAAAATTATTCTGGAAGAAAATCCACAACAGTTAAGAAAGTCAAGCAAAAAATTTTCAAGGTTTCTATCTTATACAGACTGAGGAATTATTACCTGCTGTGACTGTGAATAGACCGCTCAAAACTTTAAGCAAATTGATAAGGCATTACTGCTTTTCTGATTAATGAAATAACCAAAACAAAGCTAATGCTAGATGATCGGAATTTTTTACGCTTTAAACGATGATAAACTAGAAGGAATAAAAATATGACAGTCAGCATCCAGCGCTTCTTGTAAACCGTAATAGGTGGTTGTGATAAATAATTGCAGAGTCGAAAAAGATAAGTAGAAAAGAAAGAAAAACGAAAGCTTGCCATCATCGGACCCGTGATATCAACAGAGACTATTTTTAGTATATACCATCGATACCAATGTATGAAAACGAGATACCCCATAGAAAATAAAAATACACATCTACAAATGGAATCTGAAGTAGACTGTTTTCACGGTCCACGATAAATATCAAAAAATACACAATGGATGCATTTGATTAAATAAATCAAAAAATTGCATATTATATCCACTGAATGTTTTGATTGCGGTTTTGTATATAAAAAGGATATTTCAATTGAAAAACTACATGATATGTTGAAATACGCATAAATTTTGTTATCCAAATTGTAGCATTTTCCATTACACAAGTAATCTCTATCTAAATTAATAAACCTACTTATGCACAATTTCTGGCGGAGAAGAATGCATGATAACATATGATAAACCAACCAATAACACCAAATGTTTCATTGCACTGAAAATACACGGGTTTTAAATTGGAAAGAGGTAGCCATATCATTCGACAATTAAACTCCTTGCCTAAAGCACCACAGGCTCATTTGAAGCAGAACAGTATTTCATTTAATATTAGCAGTAAATTAAACGGAGCAACCGTGGTTAACGTGATTGAAAAAATCCCTTAATGACCTCTGCTAATAACAGGAGACGTAGTATATATGATAATCCATTAATAATTACGAAAAGGAAGAA